TCAGTCTGAGGCCAGCAGGACATTCAAGTTGAGAAATAATATCCAGAATGTAGTCCTGTCCAGAAATGGACAAGCATGTGAGAAAAGTTATCATGGAATCAGATTGGCAGCTGTCATTGTGTTGCATGATACCAAAACAATGACTGAAAGAGAAAGATACAATTCCCATTTTTTCTGTGTCCGATTTGATCATTGTATAATGGGATATGACAGATCATAGCGTGAAACACACACACACACGCACACACACATACACACATTTAGCTAGTTATGGAAAATACAGTCCTGAGTGGGAGAATGACATGTAATCATTCTAAAATATTTAAAAGTATGAGCATCAATCAGAAGCTGACATGTGGCTCGTTATCCTAGTTTTTCTGTGGTAAATTAAATACTTTTTGTGTTATGATATGACAGACTCCTACAGACTCTAAAACACGTGCACAGACCCTCACAAATCAGCATTCGAAATGTGTACCCATTTCCTTTTAGTAAATGAAGTGTTAATGTTGTAAAGAGCAGCCATTTTGATCTTAGAGGTGCTGCATAGTGGTACCAAGGAGACACATTCCCCATATTCTCTCCTGTTGTTCCTGTTGTCTTTAACCTCTGTAGCTGATAAACTGGACTCTCACTGTGTGGACACAAGAACTGGCTGCAGTTTTCCAGAAGTGTGAAATACATAGGTAAACTAATCTCTCTTCTCCTACTTGAGGTTTCTATTTTTATGCAGCCAACATTTCAGCAAGGCCACATTTCACAATCCCCAGCAGTTCATAAAGAGAGACGCTCCATCTCCTGTCTAACTTGAAGTCTTTTCTCTCCAGCGACGTTGAGTTCCCAGCCAACCTTCAGCCATGAAGATTCTCTATCTTCTCTTTGCTGTCTTCTTCCTCCTGCTGCAAAGCTCTCCAGGTAATAACATAATGATGTGAAGGGACCATATAGAGGAACGTTTGTGAGTCTGTCTAAGTTTTCCTAGAATTTATTTTTTTAAAAAGTGTCCTGTAGTTTTCAGCAAGGATTTGACATTTGACTGGAGTATAGTCCAGGAGTCAGAAAGGAGGCATTAATATGCCTATTAAGGTCTATTCAGATTTGGTTGAACTATCAATTAAAATAATATCCCTACCATTTTACCTCCTGGAGTCCCACATGATTGGTTCCTGGTGCTACGCGAGTCAATTTTTTTCAAGGACCTGAAAGTAAACATGAAATTATCATTTGTAACATTTCCTGGTGTCTTAAGACATATCACTGATACAGACAGATTTGAATCCCTGGGCAAGCCAGGCACAAGCAAACAATCACGGAGCCAAATCAAAACATATGGCTCTAGGAACAAAAAGTTTGGCCACGCTTATTGACTGAGGAATGAAATCCTAGAGTGTATCTACACAGCACCCAAAACTCAGAATAAGATACGCAATTTGTGCTAAGCAAATTGTATAGCTTATTTCGAGTCTAATTCAAAATAGCTAATTTCCTCATTTGGTACTGTCTACACAGCCCCAAATTTTGAAACAAAAGCACTGTTTCGAGCCAACCCTTATTCCTCATAGAATGAGGTTTACAGGGATGGTGAAATAGCGCCTCCACTATATTTCAAAATAGCGGACGCGTTCAACATACATGGGGTAGCTATTTCGGGATACCCTCTAGAAAGTACTGACTGTGAAAAAGGATTTAAGAATTGAAGATGAATAATCAGCTGAAATAGTTAAAAGGCCCTTTTCTTCCCTACATGGCTCGGATTCTAACAGACTTTACACAAAGAATCTCTCCTGACTTTGAAGTTGACTTTGATGCAGCTGATCCAAATGCTGACCAAAACTTGCCACATGACAAGGGGGCAAAGAGTCACATCCAGTTGGCCAAAGCGAGCAAGCCAGGAGGGAAGGGGGCAATTAAAAGTGGACAGCAGAAGTAAGTTGCTCCTCTGAGCTAAAGCAATACCTGTTCTTCATACGTCCCAAGAACTTTTGCAGAAACCACTGTGGCCTAATGTGTCTTATGCAAACTAGGATGGCAAAAGATGTTTGCAACGAGGAAGATGGAATTTCACCGAGACAAGATTGTAACAATTCCACAATTTCAACTGTGGTTGGACCTTTTGAATCTCCACTAGATCCAGGGTACATTGTGGTTCCTTTTAGCCCAACGTTTCTCAGATTCTAAAAGACATTACAGAAAGAATCTATCCTGACTTCAAAATGTGTCCTCTCTGTGACAGGAACAGCCACCTAGGGAAAAATACAAAGTCACATCAAGTTGGCCAAGGAATGCAACAGAGGGAGGGCAAGGGGAAGTGGCCTGCAGAAATATGTTGCTGACCAGAGTTAAACCAGTAAATCTTCGTTATATGTCCCAAGATATTTTGCACAAACCACGGTGGCCTAATGTGTTTTACATAATCCGGAATGGCTAATAGGGAAGAAAGAAAAAAAAAAGGAGGCTTAACGATGAAGACTGAAAAGAGAAGCATTCAGGGAGTGAAAGGACAGGGGGAGTCAAGAGAGTAGGCAGGAGGGAAGAGGAAAGAAAGAGGCAGAGAGGAGGTGAAGGAGAGAAAAGGTGAGGGAAAGAAGAAGGTAAGAGCCATGGAAGACAGCTGTCCAGTTGGAGCTGTTGGATTACTCCTAGCACTGACAACCCAGGGCTGCACAAGCACCAGTATGGATAGTAACAGGCAGGGCTGATTCCCTGCCTTGCGCCCCTTAGTTGCTTGGAATTGCTCAGGTAACACCAGGGCGTCTCTTGTCCTCTTCAGCTACTCCCCACTCTCACCCTCAATTCCTTCCTCTCTTCTTTCCTCTCCCATTTATCTCTATCACCATCCTCTCAGCCTTCCTTTGGGCTCTGTCTGTGCAAGTGCAACCCACACCTCTAGTGTGGTTTGCTGTCCCATGTAGCGGCACTTAGACCATTTATGGTGAGAGGTAAGAACAAGGGCACTCTTCAGCTGGCTGGTTTTATAGCTCAAGCTATAGAGGATCTTATACTGAGGGTATGTCTAGCCTGGCGACAGAGGCATATAAATTAGACATATCGACATAGTCAATGAAGCGGGGATGTTCCAGGCGAGGTGGTGTGCCCTGCACTCACAGGTGCTGCAGATGTGGTGAAAAAAGATGTCAAAGTCAGACTCGGGACTCACAATTTTGTCAGACCGCTCTGTTTATTAGCAACGCCGCTGTGCTAATACACCCAGAAAATGTGAGTACCATACAAGGCTCAAACCCCTTGATTTATATAGACAAAAGAAAGTAAAATTAACATGATCCAAAAAGGAGGCAAAACTCACATGATTAGCATGAGACTAGTCAAGTATCTTCATTTCCATATAAAGCCTCAACAATCTCCTGTCCATATCTCCCTGGTTATTTTAATTACTTTCTGCCTAACACCTAATGTTCCTTTCCTGTTATCCCAGACACACCTGGTTCCACACGGATCCATCCTGCATCCCTACAAACAACATTAACATAATTGTCTCTTTCCTGTTCACGGACAAACAGTATTCCTTTAACTTCTTCTATTATTACAGTATAATTTATCTTTCTCTTACAATATAATTCTTTCTACTTTCACAAAGAGAAGTGGTCAGTTCTCCCTGGGGACACAGTGGGTGAAACCCAGCCCCCCTCTGCAAGGTGAAGATGGCAGGTTTCCACACCATCACATCCTGCTATCCCCGGGAGTGTGAGCTGGCCCAGGACTGCACCCCAGCGCCTGTGCTGCCTATAGTGTGGTGTGGAGGTGGAGGGGGCGCAGGGGAAGGGAGATGTGCCCTGCCTCTGTGTAGAGGGGGCGTCTGGAGGGAGGGCAGTGCGCAGTGTCTCTCCCCGGGGTCAGGAGTCTGTCATGCACCTTCAGATGTATACGTGTGTGGGGAACAGGCCTGGGCCCCTGCATGGCACCTAGCTGGGGCCATATGTCCTGGCTAGCACGGCAGATGCACTGTTAATAAATGTTAGAATTCTGGGGCAATTCCAGAAGTTGGGAAGAGAGTTGGTGTTATGTCATTAGTCAAAAAGGCCAAGTGGGAGAATCGGTGTGAACACAGGTCAATTAATCTGGCATCAGTCACCATCAAAATAATGGAAAAATTGATTCAATTAATTTAGAATTAAAGATTAGGAATATAATTGACGCCAGCACTGGTGATTTGACAAATAACGAGTGTCATAAACTAAACCTAACTTAATTTCTGGATGTCATTATAAGTTTACTTTAGCTGCACAGATACACGTAAAGACTTAGATTTAGCAGTCCCGAGAGTCAGATTAAAAGCATAGCACCAGACACACTCATTAAAGCATATAATCCAATATAATATAACTAGGAGACTTACCTGGCATTGCCTGGGTCCTTCAGCGCAGGGGACTTCTGGTGTGCGGGTTGCAGGAGGCAGGGCAGGGCTTTGGGGATTTGAAGGGGGAGGGAAGGAGGCTGAGGTTGTGGAAAGTGTGAGCTTGAAGGTTGAGAAGGAGCTCAGGGCAGGGGGTCCTATCCAACAAGACTTTATCTCCCTCCTTCAGTAGGTAGGGTCTTTTCTTCCCCCATAACCTCCTGGTTGACAGGGACCTTCTGCCTCCCCCAAGCCTTCCTGGCCTGAGAAGCGAGTTCAGGAGAGGCCCCATGGTGGTGGGGTGGGACAATGCAGCATGGCTGTGTGGCAATGGATGTGGGAAGCAAGGTCAGCATGTTCCGTTCTCTGGCAAACTTCACCCAAATTTGGTGCAAAAGTAGAGGGGAGGGCTAAATGGTGTCCCAGGGTGTTGAAATTTTGCTGCCTACATAGAAAGAGCAAAGCGGCCACGAGTTCTGTTGTCTTTCCCTCATGGTAGTAGAGGGAAAAACACAAGTTAAATGACTCTGTAAAGAGACCAAGGAACAGGCAAAGATTAATCCACATGATCTTAGGGAAACATGAATATGGATGTCTGCTGATCTAGGAACACTCCCAGGTGGACTTAACATATGACAGTGATCTTTTATTTTATTTGTATTTAATTTTCAAAAAATAAATTGTTTTTATGGAAAACATAGGTATACATCACCCACATGTCACTCAAAACCAAATCAAAGTACACACAAGTGTGATGCAGCACGCCAACCAGTTACATTAATGAAAAAGAAGAACACGCTCCCCTGTGAATTTGTTAAGGGTTGCGAGGTTCTTTGCAGCCCAGAAGAAAATCATCCAATGTCACCCATCATATTCTCAGAGATCCTGCATCGACAATCTCTGCTGCCATCGCTCACTCTGCAATCTACAAAAGGGAGAAACTTTCACATTTTATGTTTCTATCCATTAAAACAAGAACAATAGAACATTGCATTTCAAATGGAAGGTACAGCAGGACTTTCCCCATTACTGAATGGTGAGTGCAGATACCCCTGGTTAATGCCAGAACACGGGATTCATTTTCCAGGCTGCAACACGTTGCTACGGTGTTTGAATGAACGTAGTCGGTTGTATCAAAACATATGAACTGGTTACCCACCAGGCTCCAGACTTCTGAACATGGGTCTCCTATCCCTGTATATCTGGGGGTATGTCTACACTAGCCCCCTAGTTCGATCTAGGGTGACCAAAATTGCAAATGAAGCCCAGGATTTATATATCCCGCGCTTCTTTTGCATGTTCCTGACCGGTTGCCATTTTAGAAATTGACTAGCCTGAAGTAACTGTCCGCGTCTACACATGGTAGTGAAACAGGATTCTGATTTAAAGCCCCTAGATCGAATTAGCTGTAAACCTCATTCCACGAGGAATACAGTGAGGTCTCACATGTGGAATCCTGAACTCACCCTTCTCATTTTACAGCAGCTCCACTGATGACCGCAAGATCCCATCATTGGAAAAAAGGGGTAACATTGTGGGCGACAGTCACCCCCAGCGCGTCGACAAGAATTGATGTCATAGATGATCCACGTGAATCCTGCACAGAGAAGAGTGCTGACTTTCATTCACACAGCAGGGTAAATGAAAGCAGGGCAGTTTCAATTCACTGAAGCAGGCCAAGGCGTTCCACTTATCTTCTCATGCCTCTAGATCTATGGTAGTATGTAAATGTTTGTAGTTCTGTGCCTGAGCAGGGCTGACCTGGCTCAGTGCTGGGTTGGGTGGCTGGAACATCTAGAAAGAGATGGGTTTGAACAAGCCCCTTCCAGTGAGAAGTCTGCTTGTCTGTGAGACTCTGCACAGTCTTGCTTGTGAAAACTTGGCTCTTGGCATTTCTATCTCAATGGCCAATTGCCAAGCTTAGATATTCCAGACAGGATGAATGTTGCCCAAATATGGCTTATTAGGAAATTAATATTAGAGTGTTTTAAAATACGCTGTGCCTTTCTTAAATATAATCTGGACCAATAAACAGACATGCGCTGGCAACTCTTGAATGTGGGAGGCCTCCTACATGGCTCTGTGGTGAAAACAGCCACTTTTGGCTCGGCTTATGCACAGTTGTAGTCACTCCCAGTCATTGGAATACTACCAGCAACGCTTTCTTGAATCATTCTGAAGAGCAACACCTGTCAAGTCTCAGTCTCCGCCTTATCCCACAGAAATATGCCTCTTGTATTGTTCAGTAAATTCCTGGACTGTACAAGCTCATTGTATGTTTGTCATTTCATTAATTAAATGCACAAAAGCCTGTAATCTAAAGTGAAGGCTGCCTTTTAAGAGCATTGGTGAGGGATCTTGTCAAAGGCTCTGACAATCTAAATACACTATAGCCACTGGATCAATCTTGCCCATATATTTGTTGACCCATTCAGACAATTCTAATAAAATGAGGAGGCATGATTTCCCTTTACAAAACTATGTTAACTATTCCCCAACAGATTATGTTCATCGATGTGTCTGATAATTCCCTTCTTTGTTAGAGTTTCGACCAATTTGTCTGGTACTGAAATACCTTTGTGATTGAGTGAGTAGGGACCACTGTGATTATCTAATCTGATGTAATAGGATTAAGAGTTTAATCCTTGGTAAATTGTCCAATCATTATTTGCTTTAGCTGTTTTGTTAAGCAAAAGAATTAAACTTCCTGAGTCTAACACTATGCATCGGGTTTTCAAATCCTTTAATTCTTCCTGTGGCTTTTGTCTAAAAGCTATCTAGGGGTACGTCTAGACTACAGGCTTTTGTCGACAGAGGCTTTGTTGACAGATACTGTCGACAAAGCTTCTGTCGACAAAGAGCGTCTAGGCTACATCCTGTTCTGTTGACAAAACAAGCTGCTTTGTCAACATGAGAGTATAAATGCAAAGGACAGTGTAGATGCACTAACGTCTTCTGTCAACACAACTCTGTCGACAAAAGGTGTTATTCCTCGTAAAATGAGGTTTACTGCCATCGACAAAACTGCCGAGTTCTGTCAACGTTATGTCGACAGAATTCGGTGATAGTGTAGACACAGATATAGTTTTGTCAACAAAAGTCCACTTTTGTCGACAAAACCCTGTAGTCTAGACACACCGTAGGTGATGAACTGGATTCCCAATATAGACACCAGAACCGACCACAGTATCCCAGAAGTGTGAAATACAAAAGTAAAATAATCTCTTATCCTACTCGAGGTTTCTATTAGTATACATCAAAAGGATCTATTAACTCTTTTAACCATTTCAGCTGATTCTCTAACTTCAGCCCCCAAATCTTTTTTTTTTTCATAGTTACTGATTCCTAGTGTTGAATCCCTCAGCTTATTAGTGTGGCCAGACTTTTTGTTCCTTGATATTTATATTTAGCTCTGTGATTGTTGGCTTGTGCCCTGTTCACCCAGAGATCCAAATCCAAATCCCACTATGTCAGTCATCTGCAAACTTTACAGGCAACGATTTCATTTTTTTTTCTCTCAGGTACTTGAAATAAATTGACCAGTGTAGCGCCAAGAACCGGTCCCTGGGAGATCCCAGAGCAATTGTTAGTGATATTGTTGCAGATTCTAGTTCAGTCAGATCTATTCAGATCTTAATAGACACATTAATGCCACCTTTCTGATACCCGGGGGTATGGCTACACTAGCCACCCTAGTTTGAACTAGGGTGACTAATGTAGTCATTCGAACTTGCAAAGGAAGCCCGGGGTTTAAAAATCCCAGGCTTCATTTGCATGTTCCCGGGCGCTGCCATTTTTAAATGCCCGGTAGCTAGAACTACACGCAGCACGGGGTAGGTAGTTCGAATTAACACCCTTAATTCAAACTACCGTTACTCCTCCTGCAATGTAGTTTGAATTAAGAGTGGCATAGTGTAGCCATACCCCGGGACTATTCTCCAGTCAAAGGTCAAGTCCCTGCTGTAAACCACAGTACTGTTTACAAAAAAAAGTTGGAAGAATATGATACAACATTCTAGGAAATCTTAGAATAGACTCACAAATGTTTCTTTATATTGTCCCTTCATTTCATTATGCTCTTACCTGGAGAGCTTTGCAGCACCAGGAAGAAGACAGCAAAAAGAAGGTAGAGAATCTTCATGGCTGAACGTTGCTGGAGAGAAAAGACGCCAAGATAGAGAGTCTCTACTTTTTGGCTGCTGGGGATTGTGAAATGTGGAACTGTTGAAATTTTATTTTGAAACACTGCACATGTATTAAGTGTACGCTGCAATCAGTTAATAATAACCAGTATTATTTGCAAAGCATCATACAGATTCCTGGGGAATTTCAGGAAGAGGCCGTTAATAATCCCCTTTGTGAAGTAGTTGTAATCCCATTCCTGGGTCCCAGACCCCTGCTCAGCCCTTAAACTGGAAACCTCAGTACTGTGCCACTCGTCCCACTTGCCCTTAGCAGCGTTTAAGCTTTTGTCCCTCAGCTGCAAAGGGGGCATTAGAGCTGGTTTCCCCAGGACAGTCTGGGCTGGGTAAACAGTCCTTTTCAGCTATCAGCTGGATTCTCAGATGGTCGGGGAAAAGGGAGCTCCCAACCCCTTGTTGGAGTTCCTCACCTCCCCACCCCGTGCTGTTTCTGGCAATGCTGCCATTACTTTGCTCAGTTTTTCTGGTTTTCTCCCTATCTGCTCTGGTCTCCTCTCTCTCCACTTCCTCTCCCATTCTCCTCCTGTAGGGAAGGTTTCTTTTTAAAGGGCTCCCTGGCAGCCAACAATCAGTTGGCCTGTCTCCCCTGCTTCTGATTAGCCAGGGCACTTCATAGAATCATAGAACCGTAGAACTGGAAGAGACCTCAGAAGGTCATCAAGTCCAGCCCCCTGCTCTAGGCAGGACCAATCCCAACTAAATCAACCCAGCCAGGGCTTTGTCAAGCCGAGACTTAAACACCTCTAGGGATGGAGACTTTGCTGCCTTTTAGAGCTGCCTTTCTCTCTCTCTAATTTAGCCCTCCAGCCGGACCCTGTCAAGGTATATTTCCACCTAACAAACATCTACTGCATGATTACAAGTCCTTTGAAGACAACCAAATGCCTCCCATTCTATTTAAATGAGGGTCCCAGTGCAGCCAGGAATTCCAGGACTCAGTTGAGTCTGGGAAGCACTGGCTGCATGTGTGAATCGCTTACTTGTTTTGTACAATATTTAATCAATATTTATATGTGGTTAGGGAAATTTTAAATGTCATGCACCCACACCCATAAAAAAGGTTAAAATTATTTTTTAAATGAGAGATAAAATAAAGAAAATTTTTCTCAATGTGTGTCAGGAATATGTGGGATTGGTTTTTTTTTCTTGTATATGTGAACTAGGAAATTTTATCTTTAGTGACATGAGAGAATCCTGAATTCCCCCCTCCCCTCTTTGCCCCCCTCCACATACATAACAAGCCCCAGCCTTAATTATAAGCATCTAAAGTAAAGACATACAATATTGATGTATATCAAAATTGGAAGCAAGTTTCACTTGCAGGTGCTCTGGTAATTCTGGGAATTGTTTCATTCTCCCTGGAAGAAGAGATCAGAAGGTGACCGGACTTACATTGAACATAAGAACAGCCATACTAGGTCAGATCAAAGGTCCATCTAGCCTAGTATCCTGTCTTCCAACAGTGGCCAGATGCCCCAAAGGGTGTGAACACAACAGGAAATCATCACGTGATCCCCCGCTTGGCATCCATTTCCAGCCCCTAACAAACAGGCTAGGGGCACCATTCCTATCTGTTTTGGCTACTAAGTACTCATGGACCTAACCTCCATGAATTTATGCAGTTCTTTCTTGAATCCTATTAAAGTCCTGATCTTCACAACCTCCTCTGGCAAGGAGTTCCACAGGCTGGGTGAAGAAAAACTTCATTTTGTTCGTTTTTAACCTTCTACCTATTAATTTCATTTAGTGACCCCCTAATTCTTATGCTGTGGGAACAAGTAAGTAACTTTTCCTTATTCACTTTCTCCACACCTGTCATGATTTTATAGACCTCAATCATATTCCCCCTTAGTCACCTCTTTTCTAAGCTGAAATGTCCCAGTCTTTTTAATCTCTCTTCAGATGGGACCCATTCCAAACTCCTAATCACTTCTGTTGCCCCCTTTCCAATGCCAATATATTTTTTAGATGAAGTAACCACATCTGTACGAGTATTCAAGATGTGGTTGCACCACTGTTTTATATATAGGCAATAAGGTATTCTCTGTCTTATTCTCTATCCCCTTTTAAATGATTCCAAGCATTCTGTTTAAGTAAATTGCAGACATTTCTGAAAATGTCTAAGGTTGCTGTGGAGGCTTTCAACACCTGACGTTTCCTTGTGATATTCATGCAAACCCCCTAAAGTTTCACCAATTTCTTATAATATCTCGTTCCGTCCTCTCCTTCCTTTTTCCTCCCATTTGGTAGCAACAAATATGAAATGTTGCTGGAAGTGGAGAAAGAAGGAGAATGCACAGGAAGGAGGACACCAATAGGGCAAGGAGAAACTGCGACAGAGCAGTGAGCCTTCTCTGCCCCAGGTATTGCCCTCTGTCAGCTGCCTGTCAATCCCTGGAGGTTCCTGATCTCCTGGCGTGGCACTTTTTCCGCAGAGAAAGGCCAAGGGGCACTGGATGCTTAGGGACTGCTAGTTATAAAGAAAATACTATAGAAGGAATTAATAAAAGCTTAAATTACTTCACAATGGAGTGAGGCTGAGGTTGGCTCTGCTAGGGGCTCTTGCTTTTACTCAGTCTAACTCCTTCATCAGCAACACCCAGTATTTGACAGGTTTTCAGAGCTTCATCCTAATTCCTTCCAATTTTAGTAAATATACGACCCTATTAAAATTAACTGCGAGGTTTCTGTGTTATTGTTACATCTGACAAATTGTTGTCTGTAGGAAAGAGCCCCCTCACTTACACACTCTGCTGAGACTCTGCACCTCCAGCCTGCTCACTCACACTCCCCCAAGCTAAGACCTTGCATCCCCATCCCCTCCCTCTTCACCCTGCCAAGACCTGGTAACCCCTGCTCCCTCATTCACCCCTTTCACAGAGACCCAGCACCCTCAGCCCACTCTTGCACCCTCCCCCCAGGTCAGACACCTACCCCAGCCTGCTCTGCAACCATACACCCTGCCCCCAGCCAGCTCCTGCACCCTCCCTCCTGGCCAGATACCTACCCCCAGGGAGAGCAGCGTAGGTGAGCCGAGGAGGGTTGACCATGAAAGCCACCAGAGACGGGGTGGAGAGCAAAGCTTGGAGGAGGCATGGCCCACTAATACAAAAAACCCAAAACAAAACAAAACCCCAGACGCATACATTTCTAACACACATTTCTTTACCTCTCATTTTAAACATAATTTTAACTTCTTTTTAGGGCCTTAATTCATGAAATTTAAAATTACCCTAAAATCATGTAAATATTGATTAAATATTGTATAACACAAACAAACAAACAAAACAAAGCACACACCAAAAGCTAACGTTTTCTGGGTAGAGTGGTCTTCTGGAATGCCTCTCCCTATTTGGACCCTCGTTTAAATGAAACGGGAGGCATTCCATTGTCTTCAACGTATAGTCAATCATGCGGTAGATATTTGCTAGGTGGAAATATGCATGTTGCAAGTACTTAAGGAAAGGAATCATTAACTGTATTTACCTGAAATTCCCCAAGAATCTTTCTAGTGCTTTACACATAATAATCGTTATGATTAACTGCCTGTGACATAAATGTAGTAAATGCACAATGTTTCAAAACAACATTTCAACAGATACACATTTCACAATCCCTAGCAGCCTGTAAGTAGAGAGTTCCCAGCTGTCTTCCTCCTGGTACTGCAAAGCTCTCCAGGTAAAAGCTTAATGAATAAAGGGACAATATAGAGAGAGTCCCACAAGGACTGGTTCTTTGTGCTACGATAGTCATTTTTTTCAAGACCCTAAAGGAAAAAAATGAAATAATCACCTATAAAATGTGAAGATGACAAAAATTAGGTTCACTGATATGGAGAAATTTGGATCCCTAGGTTAACTGGGTACAAGCAAGCAATCACAGAGCTAAATATAAAGATCTCAGAACAAAAAGGTTGGCCACACTTATAAGCCTAGGGACTCAATCCTGATAATCAGTAACTATGAAAAAAGGTTTTGGGGGTGGAAGAGGGATAATCAGCTGACAATGGTTAAAAGAGTTAATAGACCCTTTGGATGCATAACAATAGTTACCTCAAGTAGGAGAAGAGAGATTATTTTACATCTGTATTTCACACTTCTGGGATATGGTTGACAGTTGTGCTGTCCACACACTGGGAGTCCAGTTGATCATTTGGCGAGGTTTTAGACAAGAGATACAGGAATGACTAAAGAATGAGAAAGCATGACTGTGACAGGGCGCCTGCCCTGAACTGGCCCTTTAAGATCAGGACTCATGCCCTGAGCCTGGGCTGGAAACAGAGGCCAGCTGAAGCTGTTCGGGCTAGTGAGAGCCCAGCTGGCAGCTATCTAGGGCAGCACAGTTGGCTTGGAGAGGCCAGCTGAAGCCATTAGGGCGAGTGAGAGCCCAGCTGTCAGCTATATAAAGAAGCAGTTTGCTTAGAGAGGGGCAGTGAAGGGCTGACTACAGAGGAAGCAGGAGCTCCCAGGAGTGAGGATAGCTGGGGATAGCTAGCTAGGGCTGGGAGAGGGCTAGCCAAGACTCCCCTGGGCTAGGACCCGGAGGCAAGGTTCGGAGGCGGATTGCAAGGCAGCCTAGGTATGCGGGGCAGTAGAGATAACCCCATGCCAATGATGAGCAACCCACACAGACTGTAACTTGCCCTGAGAGGGGCTAGATGAGGACAGTCAGGGGGCACTGAGGCACGGTGGGGGAGTGCACCCCTGACAATAACTTTTGATAGACTCGGGAAGTTTAATCTCTTTTCCTTATCAAAGTGGTCAAAACAGTTCAAGATTGGAACAATTTACCATGGACTAAGTTCTAAATCCTCTGCTGCATCAGATTAGTTCCTGATAGTGGCCTAGGGCTACATTTGGGGTACCTCTACATTGCAGTGCTCTTTTGGGGTACTTCTGGTATTCTGAAATAGCTATTCTGCATCTTTGAAAGAAGACTGTTATTTCAAAATATAACGGGCTCGCTCCTCTGACATCCCTGTAAACCTCATTCCCCGAGGCCGTTTGGAAATCTCAGTGTATTTTGAACAGTGCCAAATTATGAAATAAGCTAACTCCAAATAGGCTCCACAATTTGCATAGCTCAAATTGCATAGCTTATTTCAAGCCCAGGGTGTAGTGTAGATGCACCATAGATGTTCACAAAGGTATTTCAGTACCAGGCAAATTGATTGATACTACCGTGTAGAAGAGAATTATCAGACATAGGGTGTGTCTAGACTACAGGGTTTTGTTAACAAAAGTGGCTTTTTGTCGACAAAACTATACCTGCATCTACACTACCATCACGTTCTGTCGACAGTAAGTTGACAGAATGCAGCAGTTTTGTCGACAGTGGTAAGCCTCGTTTTACGAGGAAGAACGCCTTTTTTCAAAACTACTCTTTCGAAAAAAGGCACCATTGCATGCAAACAGTGCTTTTTCGAAAGAGAGTGTCTATGCTCGCTTTCATAAAAGCGGCTTGCTTTTTCAACAGACGCTCTTTTCGTCTAGACGCTCTTTTCGTCTAGACGCTCTTTTCGTCTAGACGCTCTTTTTAGACAGAGGCTTTCTCGACAGTATCTGTCGACAAAGCCTCTGTCGAAAAAGACGTGCAGTCTAGACATAGCCATAGAGATGAACAGTACTTGTTGGGGAAGAGTTAACATAGTTTTATAAAGAGAAAGCATGCCTCAGTTATCTATTAGAATTGTTTGAATGGGCAACAAATATATGGGCAATGTTGCTCTGGGACTATCGTGTATTTAGACTGTCAGCGAGCCTTTGAAAAGGTCCCTCACCAACACTCTTCAAGGGCAGCCTCCACTTTAGATGCTAACCTTTGTGCATCTCATTGAGTTAATAAAATCACAGACATACAATGAGCTTGTCCTGTCCAGGTCTGCACTGAACAGTACGAGATGCTCATTTCTGTGGGATAAAGCTGGGACGGGTTGGCTGGTGACACTCTACAGGATAATTCAGGAGTGAGTTGCTGGAAGTAGTCCCACAACTCAGCTGGGGGTGACTTTCCAGGCGAGGGGCTGTGCTTGAGCAGGGCCAGAAGCGGTTGTTTTCACGACAGAGGCATGGAGGAGAAGTTCCATATTCGAGAGCTATGGGGATATGATGTTTATCGATGCAGACTGTACCCTGAGGAATGTCACAGTGGATACTTTAAGGAAGGCACAGTCTGTTTTAAGACCATTGACTATTAATCTCCTATAGGGCCACATTCTCCTAACGACCAGCCTGTCTGCAATTTCTAAGCCTGGCAAATGGCCATTGAGATAGTAACCCCTAGACTGATCTTGGCTGGTGACACTCTGGAGGATAATTCAGCAATGAGCTACTGGACGTATTCTTCCTGCTCAGCTGAGGGTGACTTTACAGGCTCGGGGCTGTGCACGGGCAGGGCCAGAAGTGGAGTTTATGTGTGACAGTCACTTTAAAGTCGCTTTACCCAGGCGGCCCATGACCTGCCCACAGCCTGGCGCAACGCAGAATCTGCACAGAGCTTAGTGCTACAGAGATTGCCCCACTGCAGGCCTGCCCTGGGCCTCGGCCATTCTAAGGAGACCATCACTGCCAGAAGAGCAGCTCCAAGCCAGTTAAATTGCCACCGAAGTGCTTCGCTGCATGCTCCACGTAGCTCTGAGGGTCGCTGGATCAAAGCAGGTGTGGCTCACTCTGGAGGGTGCTAAAGGCTGGCTGCTGTCGTCCTGCCCCTTCTGTCCCTCTGAGAGCCAGCACCAGCTGTGGTTGGTGCTTACAATGATGTGAGCCATGTGATGCTCAGGTACTGCAGTTATAGAACATATGGCCCCAGATCCTGCTGACGTGAGGACCTGCATTGAGCATAACGTTGCTCTCGTGTGTTTGTGGAATGGAGGCGTTTCAGAGTAGAGCGCTGCGTGGCTACACAATTTGTATCTGCATCCACAACTGAGTGTGCAAAAATGTGCCATGGACATCCACAGTGACGTCTGCAGATGTGGATACCCGTGGATATAAAGCAGACATTCATGGATGTGCCAGGTTCTCCTTCTGTGCAGAATTCATGCCCTCCTGGGTGCTCTCTGGTTTGCACCGGGGCCCTCCACAGCTAAATACTTAAGTGTCTTCAGATTGAACTAAAGAGCCAGCTTGTAGCTGGACTCTGTAAGGCTGTGTCTACACTGGCCACTTATTCCGGAAAATCAGCTGCTTTTCCGGAATAACTTGCCAGCTGTCTACACTGGCCCCTTGAATTTCCGGAAAAGCACTGATGATCTACTGTAAGAAATCAGCCGCTTTTCTGGAAATACTATGCTGCTCCTGTTCGGGCAAAAGTCCTTTTTCCGGAAAACTGTTCCGGAAAAGGGTCAGTGTAGACAGCACAGTAGTGTTTTCTGCAAAAAAGCCCCGATCGCGAAAATGATGATTTTTTGCGGAAAAGTGCATCTAGACTGGCCACGGACACTTTTCCAGAAAAAGTGCTTTTCCGGAAAAACATCCTGCCAATGTAGACGCGCCTTTTCCGGAAATACTTATAACGGAAAACTGTTCCGTTTTAAGCATTTCCAGAAAAGGGTGCCAGTGTAGACGTAGCCTAAGGGTGTGTCTACTCCACAGCGTTATTCCGAAATGACAATGTGAACATCTACACAGCAATTCTATTATTTTGAAATAAATTCGAATAACGGGCGGCTTTTTTTGAAATCTGTAAACCTCACTCCATGAGGAATAATGCCTCTTCCAAAATAGCTATTTGAAATAGAGGTAATGTACACGCTCCACTGCTGCTATTTTAAAATAGCTTCTCCCCAAGACCATTGAAAATAATTACTCCCCAGTGCTTCCAAGGGCTCCAAATTAGGGACTCCTGCCTCGGACTAATGTCTCTGTAATGGGATGGGCACATATAAACAGGAAACAATTAAAAAACCACAGACACTTAAGAATAATAATCAACATTGTATTAAAAGAGGACAGTAGCTGCAGAACGGGGTCCCATATGAAGAGAGATTAAAAAGACTTGGACTTTTCAACTTAGAAAAGAGGGGACTCAGGGGGGATATGATAGAGGTCATAAAATCATGACTGGTGTGAAAAAACTGAATAAGGAAAAGCAATGTATTTAGTCCCACAATATGTCAACTAGGGGGGTAACAAAATGAAATTAATAGGCAGCAGGTTTAAAACAAAAAAAATATAGATTTTTTTCTTCACTCAGCGCACTGTCAATCTGTGAAACTCCTTGCCAGTGGATGTGTAAAGGCTAGAAATTTAACAGGGTTCAAAAAAGAGCTAGATAGATTCATGGAGGTTAGGTCCATCGCTGGCCATTAGCCAGGATGGGTAGGAATGGTGTCCCCTAGCCTCTGTTTCTCTAGAGGTGGATGACAGGAGGGATCATGTGATGATAATCTGTTGTGTTCCCTCCCTCTGGAGCATCTGGTATAGGCCACTGTCGGCGGACAGGACACTGGGCTAGATGGACCTTTGGTCTGACCCAGTATGGCCGTTCTCATGTTCTTATGCTCTTAAACACACAGAGTTTGCTGCCACGTCACTTCTGAGGGGGAAATGTTCCCTGAATTGCTTTGTGAACCATGGGGTCGTTTCAACGGCCAATGCAGCCTCTGAATCTCTTTCCATTCACTTCCGACCATTTTGTAGCAGGCTGAGGAGGATCAGTTGGTATGGATGTTCAGCTTGAAATCCTGACCCCATGAGAGTCCATGAGAAAACTCCCATTTTTACCTCTCATTTTAAACATCATTTTACCCTTTTTTAAGGGCTTAGATGAATTAGATATAAAATTACCCTAAACACATGTAAAATATTGATTAAATATTGGGCAAAACAAATACACCGAAGGACAAGCCTGCAGACAATGCTTCTGGGGTTTGAGCTGTGTTCTGGAATCCCTCACTTTATCTGGACCCTCCTTAAATGGAATGAGAAGCATTCCATTGTCTTCAAAGTACTGTCAATTATGCCGTAGTTGTTTGCTAGGTGGAAATTTACATATCTCAATTACTTCTCACACGGATTTATTAACTGTCGTTTCTGCAGTTCCTCAGGAATCTTTATGGCACTTAACAAATAATAATCATTATTATTATTATTAACAATTGCAGTGTAAACTTAGAAAGTTTCAACACACAGTTTCAACAGTTCCACATTTCACAACCTCCAGCAGCCCATAAATAGACACGCTCCATCTCCTCTCTATCTTGGGGTGTTTTTTCTCCAGCGACGTTGAGTTCCCAGCCAACCTTCAGCCATGAAGATTCTCTACCTTCTCTTTGCAGTCTTCCTTCTGGTGCTGCAAAGCTCCCCAGGTAAGAGCATAATGAAATGAAGAGTCAATACGGAGAAACATTTGTGAGTCTGTTCGAAGGTTTTGAAACTTTGTATCATATTCTGCCAACTTCTTTCCTAAGCGGTAGTATGGCTTTCAGCAGGGATTTGATGTGACTCTTTTCCCTGTGTAGGATGCAGTAGGTTAATCCATCTGGACCGTGTTTGTGAGCTTAGAGGTGGTTCCTGCTTCCGTCGATGTTACTCCCCTTATTCATGGATTGCACCTTGCAGTGGTGGAAGGAGCTGCTGTGAATCGAGGAAGGTAAGTTCAGGATTCCACACTTGATACTGTACATCATATTACCAGCAACTTTAATACTTCATGCGCCGGGGGGGAGGGTATTAATCACACAGACACTTTATTTGTTGTGGCGAATGTTACAGGAAGGGTTTTTATAAGAAAATGAGAATCTGCCTCCTTTACTGGAGAGTGAGAAGTCCAGGGAGGGGAGACCCATGTTCAGATGCCAGGCACATTTACTTCAGGAGCCAGGTGGGCAGCCTGTTTGTTTTTTTAGGTATAACTGACTATGTTCATTAAAGCTCTGTTTCAGCCTGTTGCAACCTGGGAAATGAATCCCGTGTTCTGACAGTAGCCAGTGGGCTGTGCACTCACCATTCAGTGATGGGGAAAGTCCTGCTGTACCTTCCATTTGAAATGCAATGTTCTATTGCTCTTGATTTAACGGATAGAAACCCAGAGTGTGAAAGTTTCTTCCTTTTTTGTAGATCAGAGAGTGAGCGATGTCAGCAGAGAGTATTAATGCAGGATCTCTGGGAATCTGGCAGAGCACGCCTGGCTTCTAAAGTCATTGGACGCTTTTCTTCTAGACGGCAAAGAATCTTGCAAGAGAGCCCTTGTGTCACCTCTAATAGCTTCTTCTTCTCCTTTTAATAAAAGTAGCTGGTTGTAGTGCAGTATCGCAGACGTGTGTGTCAGAGTGGTTTGACTGACATTTGAGGGCTGCTTAGTTTTTTCTTTTCAGAAAAAGTCTTTCTTTAAAAATGACTTAAATAAAAGGCCGCTGTCGTCTACCTGGATGTGTTCCTAGACCCAGGGGACCTACATTTTTATGAGTTTCCCAAGAGCATGTGGATAAATCTATGCCTGTTCCTTTGTCCTTGCATAAAGGCCTTTAGTTTGAATTGTGGTCAGAAACACAACGCAAGTGGCGGAGTTGGGTTCAGTCACAACATGGCTGCTCAGTATGGACAACCCATGGCAGTGCTCCAGGGCAGGTTTCCCCTTTCTCTGCTTCGCTCGCCTCCTAAACCTGCCCACCAGGGGGCCCTTTTTTTCTACCTAATCTTCCGCCGGGCCGTGTGCAGCAGGGTCCAGCACAAAACCCAAATGCCTCAGTCAAACACCCAGTGTTGCCCATGTCCTTCAGGGCAGGTGGCTTGTGGTGTGGGAGGGGCAGTCGTCAAGGCAGGGCCTTGGGGATCTCCGTAAGAGGCAGAAGGCTGAGGATGTGGGAGAGTGCTGGGACAGAGGGTGAAATGAGACCTCTCTGGAGGGACTTTTCTCCCCCCACTTCACTCCCTGTCTGGCAAGGGCCTTCTCTTCCCTCCTGCTTACCCAGCAGCCAGGCCTTTTCTCTCCCCCAGCCTCCTCCAGCTGGCAGAGGTCTTCTCTCTGCACCCCCCGCACCCATCCCCACCGAGCCACCCTTCTGACCGAGGCCTTCTCTTTCTGCCCAGCCCCCCGTCGTCTAGGGTCCCAATTCCTAAACAGCAAACACTGTCCCCAATGGGGCCCTGCAAAGCCCAATGCAGCCTGTGAATCTCCTTCCATTCACTTCCATCAGTTTTTTACCAAGCTGAGGAGGATTAGTCGGTACAGATGTTCAGCCTGGAGTCCTGGCCCCATGAGAATCCATGACGAGACTCCCTTTACTTCCAAGGAGCCAAACTTCAACAAAGAAGAAAGCTACTGGGGGAGAGAGGGAGCTGTTCTAGATTTGATTTTAACAAATAGAGAGGAAATTTGAGAGAGACCAGCAGCTTGGGTGAAAGTGGTCATGACATTATAGAGTTCATGATTCTAAGGAACGGTAGAAGGGAGAACAGCAAAATAGAGACAATGGATTTCAGGAAGGCAGAGAGCTGGTAGGTAAGGTTCCATGGGAAGCAAGACTAAGAGGAAAAACAACTAAACAGAGTTGTCAGTTTTTTAAAGGGATAAAAGCAAACTATTCTATTACATAGGAAAGTTAGAAAGTATGGCAGGAGACCACTTCGGATCAACTGGGAGATCTTATAGAATCTAAACATCAAGAAGGAGTCATATAAAAAATAGAAACCCGGTCAAATTACAAAGGATGACTATAAGCAAACAACATGCAAGGGCAAGATTAGAAAGGCAAAGGCGCAAAATGAACTAAATATATTAGGAGCAAGAGTAAGATCAAGGGCATGGTAGGCCCATTGCTCCGTGAAGGGGGAGAAACAATAACAGGAAACTTGGAAATGGCAGAAGTGCTTAATGACTTCTTTGTTTCAGTTTTTGTTTTTTGTCAAGAAGATGGATGGTGATGGGATGTCTAACATGGTGAATGCTAGTGGAAATGGGGTAGGTTTAGAAATTAAAAGAAAAGAACAAGTTAAAAATTACTTAGAAAAGTTAGATGTCTCTAAGTCACCAGGGCCTGATGAAATGTATCCTAGAATACTCAGAGAGTTGATAGAGGAGGAATCTGAGCTGTTAGCTATCATCTTTGAAAAGTCATGAAAGTTGGGAAAGATTTCTGTAGACAGGAAAAGGGCAAATATAGTGCCCATCTATAAAAAGGGAAATAAGAACAATCCAGGGAACTACAGACTAGTCAGTTTAACTTCTGTGGCAAGGAAGATAATGGAGCAAGTAATTAAGGAATTCATCTGCAAACATCTGGAAGATAATCAGGTGATAGGTAACAGTCAGCATGGATTTTTAAACAACAAATCATGTCAACCAATCTGATAGCTTTCTTTGTAGGATATCAAGCCGTGTGAATAAGCGAGAAGTGGTGGATGACTGGACTTTAGTAAAAAAAAATTAGGACTGTGTAGCACTTTAAAAACTAACAAGATGGTTTAATAGGTGATGAGCTTTCGTGGGCCAGACCCACTTCCTCATCACCTATTAAACCCTCTTGTTAGTCTTTAAAGTGCTGCACAGTCCTGTTTTTTGTTTCATCTGCACCAGACTAACATGGCTACATTTCTACCACTGGACTTTAGTAAGGCATTTGACACGGTCTCGTATGACCTTGCATGACCTTATTTCAACAAACTAGGCAAATGCAATCTAGATGGGGCTACTAAGTTCAAAATGATCTGGACAAACTGGAGAAATGGTCTGAGATAAATAGGATGAAGCTTAATAAGGATAAATGCAAAGTGCTCCACTTAGGAAGGAACAATCCGTTTCACGCAGACAGAATGGGAGGCGATTGTCTAGTAAGGAGTATGGCTGAAAGGGATTTAGGGGTCATAGTAGACAATAAGTTAAACATGAGTAAACAGTGTGACACTGTTGCAAAAGAAGCAAAGAGGATTCTGGGATGCATTTACAGAAGTGTTGGGAGCAAGACAGGAGAAGTAATTCTTCGCTTTACTCTGCACTGATTAGGCCTCAGTTGGAGTATTGTATCCAGTTCTGGGCACCACATTTCAAGAAAGATGTGGAGAAACTGGAGAAGGTCCATAGAAGAGCATCAAAAAGGATTAAAGGTCTAGAAAACATGAGCTGTAAGGGCCGACTAAAAAAATTGGGCTTGTTTAGTTTAGAAAAGAGAAGACTGAGAGGAGACATGATAACAATTTTCATGTATCTAAAAGAGTGCTACAAGGAAAAGGGAAAAAACTTGTTCATCTTGGCCTCTGATGATAGGACAAGAAGCAATGGTCTTAAATTGCAGAAAGGGAGGTTTAGATTAGACATTAGGAAAAACTTCTTAACTGTCAGGGTGGTTAAACACAGGAATAAACTGCCTAGGGAGGTTGTGGAATCTCCATCACAAGATATTCAATAGGTGGGTAGACAGACATCTGTCAGGGATAATCTAGTCCAGAGGTGGGGAATAATTATTTGCTAGGGTCCAGTTCAGAAATTTTTGAAGTGCCCCGGGTCGTGCCAGAAGGGGCGTGGCCTCAAGTGGAAGGGGCAGGGCCAGGATACTTCCTTGCTTCCCCACCCACAGACTATGATTGGTCTGGGTGTGGGGGAGCATGTGAAGTTTTTGCTTCCTCCCACCCCCTCTGAGGTTTCCCTTAGGTGCCCATTCCCCTGGTGTTGGGAGGAGACTTTGCACTCTACCCCTTCTCCCAGGCCAATCAGGGCTTGGGGGCAGGGTAGCACACAATGTCTCCTTCCACCCTTCCAGGAGCATGTGGTACTTCTAAGTGCCGTGCATTCCTGGCAGGGCGGAGGAAACTTCATGCACTCCCCCTGCCCCCAGACCCTAATTGGCCTGGGGGTGGAGGAGCAGCAGGGCCTCCGCCGGCATGATTAATCCACTTGGTGGGCTGTATCCAGCCTACGGAGGCCCTTTTGCTCACCCCTGATCCAGGTGGTGCTTAGTCCTGCCGTGAGAGCAGGGGACTGGATTCGATGACCTCTTGGGGTCCCTTCCGGTTCTATGATTCCATGATTCTATGCTTACGGACTTCTAGGAATAAAGCAAATAATATAGAAGAAGCTGATAAAAGCTGAAATTACTTCACAACTCAGGCCGTGTCCAGACTCAGGGGTTCTTTCGAAAAAAGTAGCCTTTTTTCGAAAGAACTTCCCCTGCGTCCAGACTCAAGCCGCGTTCTTTTGAAATTATTTCGAAAGAACGCGGCTTTTCTTTCGATGGCGGTAAACCTCAATTTACGAGGAAGAACGCCTTCTTTCGAAAGTTCCTCTTTCGAAAGAAGGCGTTCTTCAATGTAAAGAGGCCGTCTTCGAAAGAGAGCATCCAGACTCGCTGGGTGCTCTCTTTCGAAAAAGCGGATTTCTCTTTCGAAAGATCCGCCTGCAGTCTAGACGCGATCTTTTGAAAGAGGCTTTTTCAAAAGATGCTTTCGAAAGAGCCTCTTTCGAAAGAAGCCTGCAGTCTAGACATAGCCTCAGTGAAAATGGGGTTTACTCTGGTAGTGGCTATTGCTTTTACTCAGTCTAACTCTTCGGTCAGCCTGACACATACAGTGTTTGCAAGGTTTGAGGAGCTCAGCCCTAATTCCAGCCAATTTTAGGAAATATACGACACTATTAAAATTAACTGCATATTTCCTGTGCTATCGTTACAGCTGAAAAATCACTGCCTTTAGGAAATTAATATCTTGATTGCGGTTTGGCTCCTTGGAAGTCAATGGGAGTCTTGTTATGGACTCTCCTGGGGCCGGGATTTCAGGCTGAACGTCTGTACCAACTAATTCTCCTCATCCTGGTACAAAACAGATGAAAGTGAATAGCAAGAGACTCACAGGCTACACTGGGCTTTGCAGAGGCCCCATGGTTCACAAAGGAATGCAGGGAACAAGTTGCCTCCAGAAGTGAGTTGGCAGCAAATGCTGTGTGTTTCTGCAGGCCGTGAACCTTTTCATGCCATGTTGATTTTTACTTTTAAGTGAATGTGGCTTTTATGTTTCCAGTTTCTACGCTCCCATCCCATTACAGAGGCATTTAAAATCTTTAAGAAAGGACAGAATGGCTTCCTGTGATTGAGGACACTGTAAGCCACAAGCAGCATGGGCTGGGCACACTGTGCTGTATAGGAATTGGGGCCTGCCAAGACAGGGGGGCAGGGCAGAGAGAAAAGGGCACTGTCGGCCTGGGGAGGCTGGGGGAGAGAGACAAACCCTGTTGGCAGGAGGGACTGGGGGAGAGGGAAGCTGGCTGGGATAACCAGGGGCAGAGCCGAGATCTGTGCCTGCTGGAGGAGGCTGGAAGGAGAGAAGAGGCTCATGCTGCCTGAGGAGGTCTGCGGGGACTTTGAAGGCCCTTGAGGAGAGTTGCCGGGGGGAGAAAAGTTCCAATGCATGGGACCCCCTCCACACTGAACTCTCACCCTCCGTACCCTGACTCCAGTGATTGTCTGTGAGACTCTGCACAGAAATGCGTGTGAAGACTCAGCTCTTGTGATTACTACCTCCATGGCTAATTACCAGGCTTAGAAATTCCAAACAGGCCGGTCCTTAGGCAAAAGTGGCCCCTTAAGAGATTAATATTCAACTCTTTTAAAACAGACTGTGCCTTCCTTAAAGTATCTACTGTGACATTCCTCAGGGTACAATCTGGACCGATAAACTGCTGGGTGCCCTCAGCTCTCAAATGTGGGACGTCTCCTACATGCCTCTGTTGTGAAAACTACCACTTCTGGCCTTTCTCAAGCAGAGCCTCTCACCTGTAAAGTCACCCCCACCTGAGTTGTGGGGATACTACCAGAAGCTTGCGCCTGAATTATCCTGCAGAGTGTCACCAGTCAACATCAGCTTCATCCTTATCTCACCTAAATGAGCGTCTGTATTGTTCAGTGCATACCTGGACAGGACAAGCCCATTGTGTGTCTGTCATTTCATTAATTCAATGAGATGCACAAAGTCTATCATCTAAAGTGAAGGCTACCCTTTAAGGGTATGTCTACACTACAGCGTTAATTCGAGTTATCTTAATTCAAAATAGTTAATTTGAATTAAGCTAATTCGAATTAACGCATCTACACACAAAATGCAGTTGGAATTTCGAAATAGTGCATCCACACTGAGTGGACTCTGAATCAGAGTTAAGGCTGGCCGGAACCAGTTCTTGCAGGGCATCAGGGTCAGACTTAGTGTGTGGGGCTGCTGCCTGAGGCTAACTGAGCTCCGTGCTTAAAAGGACCCTACCCCCACCCTGGACAGACAGTTCTCAGCTTTCCCTGCTTGCTTGTCTACTTCAATGAGGGACAGCAAAGCATTTGTGTCTCTGTGTGCTCTGCTTGCCCTCACTCAGGACACCACAGCACTCTGCCACAGGGAGCCAGAGCTGCCCCTGGGCACTCTGGCGCATCTTGTGGATGCATTGCCATCAGCCTGGCTGCACTTGCTGCAGGCTGCCATCCGGGAGGTCCACTGGGAGGCTGTCAGGATCCAGGGGGCCCTGCGGGATAGCTTCTGCCCCAAGGAGCACTAACAGTCTCCCTGGTCTGCCCCACTGGGGGCTTCTGCCCCATTTCTCCCTCATGTCCTTCCACTTACCCCTCCCTAGCTTCCCTTCCTGATGTCAAATAAAATACAATTTTTTTAAAAAATAGAAACTCTGTTTATTTAACAAAATGGTAGGGGGAGGGATGAATTTCTTCGGAGACTGAGGAAAGGAGGTTGGAGACAGGAGGAGAGAGGGTGGGAGAGGGGAGGGGGAAAACTGGGAGGAGGGAGCTGGAAGGGGAAAGCAAGGTGAGGAAGGGGGAGGGGAAGCACTTACACGGTGTGGCCTCCCCGGATGACCCTGCTGACTCTGCAGGTGGGACTTCTCGGGGTCCTGGTGGTGTGGCGGCTCCTGCTCTGTGCCCTGGTTAGGGTCCTCTGGTCCCAGCTTGCTGCCCTCTGGGGTGGCACGGTCCCGCCCCCCCAGGATGCAGTCCAGAGCCTCGAAGTAGGGGCAGATGTCTGCCCCTGCTGAGGAGCTGCCCCGAGTAGCCCTGGTGTACTCTTGCTGCAGCTCTTTAATTTTCAGGCACACCTGCTTCTGGGTGTGCCTGTGGCCTTTCTGGGCTATGGTGGCAGCTATGCGGCCGTAGACAGCTGCGTTCGTCCGTCTAGGGGGGGAGAGGAGAGGAGTTTTCCTGGTTTGTCCCAGAGTGGCCACCAGGGGAAACTGGGAAGGGCTGGAGGCTAGCTAATTCGAAATAAGCGTCTACACAGCATTTATTTTGAATTGGCTATTTTGAATTTGGCGTTACTCCTTTTAGAATGAGGTTTACCAAATTTGAATTAAGCGCCCCGCTTTGATTTGTCAATTTAAATGTGTTCACCTTTTTTTTAATTGTATCACTTTAGTATATATGGTCGTGCCGATTTTCTTCCACAAATTGATCTGAGGAAGTGGGTCTGTCCCACGATAGCTCATCACCTAATAAACCATCTTGTTAGGCTTTAAAAGGCTACGTAGTCCTGTATTTTGTTTTAGCTAGACCAGACTAACACAGCTGCATCTCTATCACTATTCTGAATGAACGTAGTCAGTTACATCGAAACGTGTGCTGGCTGCTCCCGGGTTCCCAAAGAAAATGTTCCTGACTTCTGAACATGGATTTCCCTTTCCCCACAACACTCCAGTAAAGGAGGCAGAATGTCATTTTCTTACAAACGTCCTTCCAGTAACGGTCTCCACACTGAAAGTGACAACCACAACAAATAAAGTACTGGAATTATTAACAGCTCCCTGGCAAATTCTGTATTCAACTGGTCAGAAATAGGATGTACAGCATCACTGAAATAGTCATCACACTTTTTAAAAAACTTGCTGCGATTTGAAATTCCATTTTGGGCTGAAACCAAAATTGTGCACATTAAAATTGTTGACTATCTTTATGATAGATATAAATATAGAACTATAACATACGTAGAATGTCGTGAATCATGTCCATTGACCATTTTCCTTTCAAACGCAGGTTTTTTCCACAGCTAAAGCAAAAGATATTTTATTGTAGAACATTTTTATTATTCTGAGAGAATGCCCGGACTGTTTTCTCTTCCACCTCCTGTCAACCTAAAAGCTTGACCCCGTTCAGATGGCAGATTTCTAGCTGATGACAATCTCTATACGTGCTCTGTGCAACAGCCAGGAGAGAAGCATTTCAGTTGCTACATTCCACATTCCCTACCCCAGAACTAATCTGGTCTGCTCTGGGAAATTCAGTTGTTGTAACTACTTCACTCAGGAGTATGAAAAATACACCCTCCTGAGTAAGGCATTAAACTGATCCCACCCCAGCACTAGGTCGATGGGTGCGTTCTCTCCTTGATATACATACCAATAATATACTCCCCATAGCTCACACGCAGAACAGAATAAGAGTTTCCTCTGTGCCATGTTCCAGAATTGTGTGTTCTAAACCTCCAAGTTCATTAAACATCAGCTACAGAAAGGATAGACACAAATATTCTGTATACCCAGCGATGTCTCACGTGAGGAATCCTGAACTTACCCGTAAACTCTTACAGCAGTTCACTGTAGGGCTACAAATTCCAAGCCATGGATGATGGCGGTGGCAACGCTGGGTGCAGAAACCTCCCGCTATCCTACAACGCCCCTTTGTTTTAATTCTCTGGGTGAATCCTGCACAGAGAAAGGAATTTTGGTTTTCATTCACACAGCAGGATACAGAAAAGCTGCGATTGCAACATCTGGTGTGTTTTTTGTTACCTGAATCTCCAGTTAAGTAATAGAGATGTAACTGTGTTAGTCTGGTCTAGCTGAAACACAAAACAGGACTATGTAACACTTTAAAGCCTAACAAGATGGTTTATTAGGGGATGAGCTTTCATGGGCCAGACCCACTTCCTCAGATCAGAAGTGGGTCTAGCCCACGAAAGCTCATCACCTAATAAACCATCTTGTTAGGCTTTAATGTGCTACATAGTCCTGTTTTTTGTTCCAGTTAAGTGAAAACAGTCAAACCACTTCTCTTCCTGTGCCCCCTTTTCTGGATCTTTGATATTAATATAAACATCTGTATTTCTGTGCCCGAGCAGGGGTGAACTGGCTCAGTGCTCGGTTGTGTGATTGAAACTTCTAGACAGAGAAGGCTTTGAACAAGCCTCTTCCAGTGAGAATGCCTGAATGTGTGTGAGACTCTGCATAGAAATTCCTGTGAAGACTCAGCTCTTCAGATTATTATCTCAATGGCCATTTGCCAGGCTTAGAAATTGCAGACAGGCTGGTCCTTAGGAGAATGTGGCTCACTCAGGGATCCAAATCCCTCTGTACCAATGACCTGTCCCTTAATGTTTGCCACCTGTAACCTTTATATATGATTTTAATTTTTGCATTCAGGTCTTTGAAAAAAAATTGACTAGCAAGGCACCAATGACCAGTCCCTGTGGGACTCCAAAGGTAAATTGCTAGCATTATTATAGCAGGTCTTAATCAGACAAATAGAAATAGACCTTAATAGGCACATTAATTAAACCTTTCTGACCCTGGAACAATTCTCCAGTCAAATGGCAGGTCCCTGCTGAAAATCATTGTTCTGTTAGAAAAAAAATTGGAAGAATATAATATATATCTTAGAAGAGACTCACAAATATTTATCCATATTGTCGCTTCATCTCATTATGCTCTTACCTGGAGAGCTTTGCAGCACCAGGAAGAAGACAGCAAATAAAAGGTAGAGATTCTTCATGGCTGAAGGTTGGCTGGAAACTCAACGTCACTGGAGATGAAAGACCACAAGTTAGAGAACAGATGGAGGATCTCTATTTATGGGCTGCTGAGGCTGTGACGTGGATCTGCTGAAATTTCATTTTGAAACATTGCACATGTATTAAGTTTATGCTGCAACTGGTTAATAGTAATGATGATAATTTGTGAAGCACCATAAACATTCCTGGAGAAATTCCAGAAATTACAGTTAATGATTCCTTTCCTTAAGTAGTTGCAATATGCATATTTCCACCTACCAGACAGCTACTAAATGATTCTCATGCCCAGGAGGGCTAACCAGGAACCTGTCCCTAGCCAGGTCTCTGGGAAACCAATCACAATGCAGGTAGGGACTTCAAAAAAAGATAATGGATTACTGTTTTTCTACATTTTGTTCCTCCGGTTTCCTGAGCAACGCCACGTAACTCCAGCTAGTTTCAGAATTTGAAAGTGGAAGGCATCTTGGGTGAAAGTGATCATGAAATCACAGAGTTCATGATTCTAAGGAATGGTAGAAGGGAGAACAGAAAAACAGAAACAATGGATTTCAGGAAGGCAGATTTTGGTAAGCTCAGAGAGCGGGTAGATAAGGTCCCATGGAAAGCAAGACTAAGCAAAAAAACAAAAGCAAAGCCAAACAAACTGAAGAGAGTTGGCAGTTTTTCAAAGGGACATTTTTAAGGGCCTAAAAGCAAGCTATTCCACTGCATAGGAAAGATTAAAAAGTAAAGTAAAAGACTGCCTTGGCTTAATTAGGAATACTTGCATGATCTAAAAATAAAAAGGAGTCATATAAAAAGTGGAAATTAGGACAAATTACAAAGGATGAATATAAGCAAACAATACAGGTATGCAGGGGCAAGATTAGAAAGCCAAAGGCAGAAAATAAGCTCAAACTAGCTATAGATATAAAGGGAAACAAGAAGACATTCTGTAAATATATTAGAAGCAAGAAGAAGACGAAGGACAGCGTAGGCCCACTGCTCGGTGAGGATGGAGAAACAGTAACAGGAAACTTGGAAATGGCAGAGATTCTTAAAGACTTTGTTTCAGTCTTCACTGAGAAGTCTGATGAAGGAATGCCTAACATAGTGAATGCGAGTGGGAAGAGGGTAGGTTTAGAAGATAAAAAGAAAAAAAAACAAGTTAAAAATCACTTAGGAAAGTTAGATGTCTGCAAGTCACCGGGGCCTGATGAAATACTCAAGGAACTGATAGAGGAGGTATTTGAACCTTTAGCTATCATCTTTGAAAAATCATGGAAGATGGGAGAGATTCCAGAAGACTGGAAAAGGGCAAATATAGTGTCCATCTATAAACAGGGAAATAAGAGCAACCTAGAAAACTACAGGACTAGTCAGTTTAACTTTTGTGCCAGGAAAGATAATAGAGCAAGTAATTGAGGAATTAATCTGCTAATATCTGGAAGATAATAAGGTGATAGGAAACAGCCAGCATGGATATGTAAAGAACAAATCATGTCAAACAATCTGATAGCTCTCATTGATAGGATAACCAGTCTTGTGGATATGGGAGAAGCGGTGGACATAGTATACCTAGACTTTAGTAAGGCATTTGATACGGTCTCGCATGATCTTCTTATAAATAAAGTAGGCAAATACAACTTAGATGGGGCTACTATAAGGTGGGTGCATAACTGGCTGGATAACCGTTCTCAGAGAGTACTTATTCAGGGTTCATAATCCTGCAGGAAAGGCATAACAAGTGGGGTTCCACAAGGTCTAATTTGGGATCCGATCTGTTCAATATCTTCATCAATGATTTAGATATTGGGATGGAGAGTACGCTTATTAAGTTTGCAGATGATACCAAACTGGAAGGGGTTGCAAGTGCTTTGCAGGATAGGGTCATAATTCAAAATGATCTGGACAAACTGGTGAAATGGTCTCAGGTAAATAGGATGAAGTTTAATAAGGACAAACGCATAGTACTCCACTTAGGAAGGAACAATCAGTATCATGTATACAGAATGGAAAGTGACTGTCTAGGAAGGAGTACTACAGAAAAGAATCTAGGGGACCAATTGGACCACAAGCTGAATATGAATCAACAGTGTGAAGATGTTGCAAAAAAAGGAAACATGATTCTTGGACGCATTAACAGGTGTGCGATGAGCAAGACATGAGAAGTCACTGTGCTCTACTCTGTGCTCATTAGACCTCAGTTGGAGTATTGTGCCCAGTTCTGGGCATCACATTTCAAGAAAGATGTGGAGAAATTGGAGAAGGTCCAGAGAACAGCAACAAGAATGATTACAGGTCTAGAGAACATGACCTATGAAGGAATACTGAAAGAATTGGGCTTCTTTAGTTTGGAAAAAAGAAGATTGAGAGGGGATATGATAGCGGTTTTCAGGTATTTAAAAGGGTGTCACAAGGAGAAGGGAGAAAAATTGTTCTACTTAGCCTCTGAGGATAGGAGAAGAAGCAATGGACTTAAACTGCAGCAAGGGAGGTTTAGGTTGGACATTAGGAGAAAGTTCATAACTGTCAGAGTGGTGAAACACTGGAGTAAATTACACAGGGAGATTTTGGAATCTACATCTCATGAGATATTTAAGAGCAGGTTAGAAAGACATCTATCAGGGATGGTCTCGACAGTTTTGGGTCCTGCCATGAGGGCAGGGGACTGGACTTGATGACCTCTCAAGGTCAGTTCCAGTTCTAGTATTCTATGATTCTATGAATCATGCCTAGTGGTTCTTAATAGACTGGGTGAATCTTGCACAGTGAAAACAGTCTTGATTTTCATTCACACAGCAAGGTACAGAAAAGCTGTGATTGCAATATCTGTGGGTATGTCTACACTACAGTGCTATTTCAAATTAACTTCAATGATGAAATTAAATGGACCTCAGCCCAGCCCAGCACTAGATTAATGGGTGCCTTCTCCCATTGACATATATACCATCGACATACTCCAGAAAGTCCACAAGCAGGACAGCACAAGAGTTTCCTTCGTGCCATGTCCCAGAGTGGTGCTGTGTGTCCCAAACCACCAAGGTCATGAAATATCAGCTACAGAAAGAACAGACACAAATTTTCTGTTTACACTGTTGTGTGTCACACCAGGAATCCTGAACTTACCTTCCTCCTTCTACAGCAGCTCCTTCCAAAACCGCAAGTTCCAATCTCTGCAAAAGGGTACAAGCACAGACGGGCGCAGAAACCTTGAAGGAACCAACATGCCTGTTTGTTCTGAATGATCTGCATGAATCCTGTACAGAGAAAATAATCCTGAATGTCATCCACACAGCAGGATACAGAAAAGCTGTGATTGCAGCATCTGGTGTGTTTTTGATTAACAGAATCTCCAGTTAAGTGAAAGCAGAATCAAACCACTTCTTTTCCTGTGCCCTCTTTTTCTGGATTTTTGATAGTAATGTGAATGTCTGTAGTTCTATGCCCAAGCAGGGGTGAACTGGCACAGTGGTGAGTTGGGTGATTGGAACTCGTAGGCAGAGAAGACTTTGAACGAGCCTCTTCCAGTGAGAACGCCTGATTGTCTGTGGGACTCTGCACAAACATGTGTGTGAAGACTCAGCTCTTGGGATTATGATCTCAATGGCCAATTGCCAGGCTTAGAGATTGCAGACAGGCTGGTCCTTAGGAGAATGTGGCACTTTAGGAGATTAATATTCAACTCTTTTAAAATAGATTGTGCATTCCTTAAAGTATCCACCATGTCATTCTGCAAGATACAGTCTGGACCAACGAACAGCCCTGTGCCCTCACCTCTCAAATGTGGGATGTCTCCTAAACGGCTCGCCTGTGGAAACAACCACTTCTTGTCCCTCCTGTAAAGTCATCCCCTTCCCCGCTGAGTTGTAGGAATATTACCAGCTGCTCATTCCTGAATTATCCTGCAGAGCGACACCAGCTAACATCAGTCTCAACCTGAATCCACAGAAACGTGGATCTTGTATTGATCAGTACATACCTGGTCAGGACAAGCCCATTGTATGTCTGTGAAGTTAAAATAATCTCTCTTCTCCTACTTGAGCTTTCTATCTTTATACATTGAACGTATCAATTAAATCTTTCAATCCTGTTCAGTTCATTATCCATCTTCTCAGGACTGGATCCATCATCTTCTAAATGTGACTCACCTCTTTGTTCCTAGATCTGTATATTGATATTTAGCTCTGTATTTGTTTGCATGTGCCTACCTCACACAGGGATCAAAATCCCTCTGTACCAGTGACCTGTCCTTTAAGGTTTGTCACTGTAACCTTTATATATGATGATTTCAGTTCTTTCATTCAGGTCCTTCGGAAAAAAATTGACTAGCGTAGCACCAAAACCCAGCCCCTGTGGGACTCTACAGGTAAATTGTTAGTGATATTATTGCAAGGATTAATTCAGACAAAAGAAATAGATCTTAAAAGCCATATTAATGAAACCTTCCTGACCCTGTAACCATTCTCCAGTCAAATGTCAAATCCCTGGTGAAAACCATAATTCTGTTTAGAGAAAAGTTGAAAGAATATGATACGAATCTTAGAACAGATTCACAAATGTTTCTCTATATTGTCCCTTTATCGCATTATGCTCTTACCTGCAGAGCTTTGCGGCACCAGGAGGAAGACAGCAAAAAGAAGGTAGAGAATCTTCATGGCTGAAAGTTGGCTGGGAACGCAACATTGCTGGAAAGAAAAGAGCACAAGTCAGAGAGCAGATGGAGCGTCTCTCTTTTTGGGTTGCTGAGGTTGTGACATGTGGATCTGATGAAATTTCATTTTGAAACTTTGCACGTGTATTAAGTTTACGCTACTATTGGTTAATAATAACAATGATAATTTGTAAAGCATCATAAACGTTCCAGGAGAAATTCCAGAAAATATAGTTGATTCCTTTTGTTAAGTATTTGCCGTATGTATACTTCCACCTAGCAGACAGCTACTTCATGATTGACCATACTTTGAAGACAATGGAATAAGAACATAAGAACAGAAAAATGGCCATACAGGGTCAGACCAAAGGTCCATCTAGCTCAGTATTCTGTTTGCTGACAGTGTCCAATACCAGATGCCCCCGAGGGAGGGATCACAATAGGTAATTCACACATGATCCCTCTCCTGTCACCCACCTCCAGAGAAACAGAGGCTAGGGACACCATTCCTACCTATGCTGCCTAAAGCCATTGATGGATCTAACCTCAATGATTCTATCTAACTCTTTTTGGATAGTTAAAGTCCAAGCCTCCAACACATCATCTGGCATGGAGTTCCACAGGTTGTCTGTGCGCTGCATGAAGAAAAACCTCCTTTTGTTTGTTTTAAACCTGCTGCCTAACAATTTTATTTTGTGATTGCTAGATCTTATATGTTGGGAATTAGTAAATAACTTTTCCTTATTCACTTTTTCCATACCATTTGTGATTTTATAGACCTCTAGCATATCCCTCCTTAGTCTCCTCTTTTTTTTTTTGCCTCCCATTACGTTTAAAGAAGTGTCCAAATATAGTATATCCGAAGTGAGGAATTTTACAGTTAGGGTATGTCTACACTACCACCCTAGTTCGAACTAGGGTGGTAGTGTAGACATACCCTAACTGTAAAATTCCTCACTTCGGATATACTATATTTGGACACTTCTTTAAACGTAATGGGAGGCAAAAAAAAAAAGAGGAGACTAAGGAGGGATATGCTAGAGGTCTATAAAATCACAAATGGTATGGAAAAAGTGAATAAGGAAAAGTTATTTACTAATTCCCAACATATAAGATCTAGCAATCACAAAATAAAATTGTTAGGCAGCAGGTTTAAAACAAACAAAAGGAGGTTTTTCTTCATGCAGCGCACAGACAACCTGTGGAACTCCATGCCAGATGATGTGTTGGAGGCTTGGACTTTAACTATCCAAAAAGAGTTAGATAGAATCATTGAGGTTAGATCCATCAATGGCTTTAGGCAGCTAACGGTAGTTCGGAATAGGCACCTAGTCCGAACTACCTAGTTCGAGCCCCGTGTAGCCGCGCTGCACGGGGTTTGAAGCAGCGGGGATTTAGAAATGGAGGCTCCCCGCTTATGCTAATGAAGCCCGGGAAATTCAAATCCCGGGCTTCATTAGCAAGTGCGGTATGCATACATTACCCCGCTAGTTCGAACTAGCGGGGTAGTGTAGACATACCCTCAGTCAGTTGTCTGTAAGTAGATGGAGGAGACTGATCTTCTTGCTTGGCACTTTCTCCATAGAGAAAGGCCAAGGGGCACTGGATGTTTACGGACTTCCAGGAATAAAGCAAATGATATTGAAGAAGCAGATAAAAGCTGAAATTACTTCACAACAGAGTGAGTTTGTGGTTGGCTCCGCTTGTGGCTGTTGCTTTTACTCAGTCTAACTCCTCTGTCAGCCTGAGATGCAGCACCTAGTATTTAAGAGCTCAGCACTAATTGCAGCCAATTTTAGGAAATATATCACACGATTACAATTAACTGCATGTTTTCTTTGTTACTGTTACAGCTGACAAATATTTGCCTGTAGGTAATTAGTATCTGTGTTGAAACTTCGCTCTTTGGAAGTCCTCATAACTCTTGGCATGGAGTCTGATGGGGCTGGGATTACAGGTTTAACATCTGTACCAATTAATCCTCTTCAGTCTGGCAAGAAACTGGTGGAAGTGAATGGAAAGAGATTCTCAGGCTGCTTTGGGCTTTGCTGGTGTCCATGGTTCATAAAGGAATTCAGGGAACATTTCCCCCTCAGACGTGACTTGGCAGCTAACTCTGCCTGTTTCAGAGGCTCATGCACCTTTGCCTACCATGTTGATTGTTATTCTGAAGTGTATGTGGTTTTCTAAAATGTTTCCTATTTCTAGACTCCTATCCCATTACAGAGATGTGCCAAATCTTTAAAAAAGGAGAGAATGGCTTACTACGATTGTGTATGCTGTGAGCCAAGACCATAGGGCTGGGTCTACACTGGCCACTTATTCCGGAAAAACAGCCGCTTTTCCGGAATAACTTGCCAGCTGTCTACACTGGCCGCTTGCTTTTCCGGAAAAGCAATGACGATCTAATGTAAAATCGTCATTGTTTTTCCGGAAAAACTATGCTGCTCCCGTTCGGGCAAAAGTCCTTTTCCGGAAAAACTGTTCCGGAAAAGGGCCAGTGTAGACAGCACAGTAGTGTTTTCCGCAAAAAAGCCCCGATCGAGAAAATTATGTTCAGGGCTTTTTTTGTGGAAAAGTGCGTCTACATTGGCCACGGACGCTTTTCCAGAAAAAGTGCTTTTCCGGAAAAGCATCCTGCCAATGTAGACGCGCTTTTCCCGGAAATACTTATAACGGAAAACTGTTCCGTTTTAAGCATTTCCGGAAAAGGGTGCCAGTGTAGACATAGCCTTTTAGGAGTGTGGGCTGAGCACACTGTGTGCTGTGTAGGAACTGAGCCCCTAGCAGAGATTGGGGCTGGGCAGAGGCAGAAGGGCGCTGCCAGCTTGGAGAGGCTGAGTGGAGAGAGAAGGCCTCAGTGTAACAGCCTTCCTCTGTAGCCAGACTGAAGAGCAGCAGCCATTAGGGTGTAAAGCTTGAAGTCACAAACTCACATTCTGTCTAAACTGCATTAAAATGGTGTCACACCAGGCTGAGAGAAGGTCTTCATGGCACCCAGTGTCCCCACAGAAAGAAATAGAGATCACGACGGGTAGAGAAAACTTAGTTAGCAGCATTTCATCTGGCAGGAAACGGTTTATCAATAGTTGAGGTTGTGGAATCCTCATTCTCTGATTATTGTCCTCACTTTCCTATTGTTTGTCTGTGTGATCTCTGTCTGGGGTGTAACTGTTTCTGTCTGATGCATAATTAATTTTTCAACTCAGGTGGTGGGTAAATTCTGTTACGGTATGTTCTGATTAGTAAAATGATATTAAAATAATTGGTTAAGGGATAGCTAAGCAGGACTCAAGTTTCATTTTATAAACTGGGGTCCAAGAAGGAGACCCAGAGGGAAAAAGGGAAAGTGGAAGGGAAAGAAGAAAGCAGGAAAGGAACAGCCAGAAGAAGAAGGAGGGAAGACCTGGAAGAAGAACTCACTTTCAAGACACAGATTAAGCCCAGGGGTGGCAGAACTTCTCTGCACGACCATGACATGGAGCAAGAAGGATCCCGAGAGACTGAGCAACAGAGGGAGTCTGCTGTCTTTAGCACGCTTGGGGAGTA